CACCTGCTGAATTTTTGGAATTTTCTTATCTGTTCAAACCATATTCTTTACAAATCACCCCTTGACAATCAAGAAGGGGAACAATTTAACTCATTCTACAGATGCTCTCTTCATATTCTTACATTATCTATTTGAGACAAAATTTTTATTTCAAAAGCAGTGAAAATGGCAAATTCTCTAAAGAGAAAAGCGTTTTCGATAGACGACAAAGTTAAAATTGTAAAGCGTATTGATGATGGAACCAATCAATCGACACTGTGTAAGGAATTTTCCTTGTCAAAATCTACAGTTTCAAACATTTGGAAAAATCGAAGTGCAATTCTTGCGGCATACGACAAAAACATGGTTTCATTGAAAAAATTGCGTGGAGCTGAAAGAGAAAACTTAGAAGATGCTTCGTCAAGATGGCTCGAAATCTTGTTCAAAATGTAAAAATCTTGCATTCTTTGCACATTGTAGATAAGAAAATTGATGAACTCAATTTAAGATCCAATTGTGTTCAATCAAAAATCACAAATTTTTTTCATAAGAAGTTTAAATAAAATTAATATTTAGCAACGTAATTACTTTTTCCATCAATTTTTGCTTTATTATCTGTTAATTAGTTAATAATTTTTTAAATAACTTATGCAAAATTGCAAAGCCAATTTTCAATCATTGAACTGTCTTATGCAAAAAATATTCTTCAAAAAATTTGGATATAGTGAACCATCGGTTATAGTGGACACATTACTGAGTCCGCAGACGGTTCACGAGTCCGCAGACGGTTAGACTGTACAACCTTAGGTATGTAAATAAAAGTGTTTTAGTATGTCTTTGTCTACAAGATGAGAATAATCAATTTTTGTGCAATAAATATATTGAGACACTCAGAAAAGTTTTTGAAAATTCATGCCATACTATTGTTCACTTATATTTGAATTGATATTCATTAATACAACCTTATTTATATAAATAAAAGTTTTTTAGATTATTCATGTAGCATATTTTCTTAGAATTGTATACATCCTTGATCCTATTAAAATATATCATTTTATGCATAAAATAAATGTTTTTATGACTCTTTTTCCAACTAGCTTAACCATGGTAGAAATTCTATGACCACATCATAAAGTTTCATAAATTTTATGACAAAAAAAAAAAAAACTACTTAAGAGTTCCAAGGCTCACTTTGCACCTGCCAACTTGCTATGGTTGAACAAATTTTTCAATAAAAAGTTTTTTTTATAAAATATACAAATTCAAAATTAAATTAAATAAGACAGAATATATCCATAACCAGTCATTATGGAAAGGAAAAGGAATCCCTTAGGTGACTGTAGTTAGTGCAAACAAATAATGATACAGAAATACCCTCTAATAAACTCTTATCCTGAATTTGAAGTTAAATAAATGTTTTCAAAATTCTCTTATTGTGCAAAGAGCAATTTATACAATGTATTCAATTGAGATCCCACTAACCTTTTGCAACGGCTTCAGCCAATTTCTCCTCAGCAATATTCAAATTATTTACATAGGTAGCGTGATGCTTTGAATGATGGAGTTGCATAATTTCAGCAGAGATTGTAGGCTCCAAAGCACCATAATCATACGCTAAATCAGGCAAAGTATGTTTAGACAAAGCCTGATTAGCTAATGGGAGAGTAGCTTTAAAACTTCTATAGAAAATAAAGAAATAATTAAACATTGGCAACATTAATGCAAACAAAGTGGTAAAATAAAAGCATTCCAAAACTAACAAGACTTTGTTTACTTTCAATAATTTGAAAGTGTCAAAAGGTAAATATAAAATACAGTGCATTTTAATAGCGTTTGGAATTTAAATATTTTCTTTATAATTACAAGAAATCCCTCATAGCTATAAGAAGGTTAACGAGGAAAGTGTAAATGACACAAAGAATTTTTATGTTCCCGCAAATTGATAAAATTCTAAAAAGAACAACGGTTCGATAGCTATTGAGAATATTGTATTAACTAGTTAAATAAACCAACCTTTTAAATATGATGGATATTTTATTAGAAAACATTATCAAAGGTTAGGAGACTATAAAAAGAAAACACTTCAATGTTTAAAAATAATAATCGGTAAGTTGCATAAGATCTGGATTCGCATAGAATAATCACATACGCTTCCGGCTGACTATTTCTGTAAGCAGAAGCTTTTCAGAACCTTGAAAAATAATATAAAGTAAAGAAACAAACTATTATAGGAATTAAATGCGAGGAAAATTAGACTTAGAATTTTGATTCAATTTTTCATTAAAATAAAAAACACTTCTTTCAAAATAAAATGCTTATAAAAATAATTTAAGGATAATTATGAGATGGCAACTTTAAAAATTGTTGATTTTGTGAAATCGATGATTTGATCTGCTTGGGGGATATTCCCTTTGAAATATTTAACTTATCTATAATATTTTTATTATGTGGAATTGAGTAAGTTATCATTTTTTACCTTTTGTTTAATAAATTGATAAACATTAATTTCTTAATTAGTTAAGAAGTGATATATAGTGTGGATGTTTCTGTTTCGACAAAATGGCGCCTTTTGACCTCTTGTTAGGGAATATTAACAATTGCTTTTTCTTAGATTAAAATTGCTTACTGAAAACAGATATGTTGATTTCTATTTAAATTTTCTCTGTTTTGTGAGCGGTAAAATTATCTATTTCTTAATATTTTTTTTTTTACATTGTTCTTTATTGAATGTTTGTACTTAACCTTCTCATTCCACTATCCAATAGTTAAAGCTAATTTATGTGATTATGATTTAAAATTTCCTTCCTAATTTTATTAAAAAAATATGTTTAAAAGTAGTGAAATTTAAATGTTTGCTGATTGCCATTTGTAATAATATTGTTGGTTTCTTGTAGGATTTTTACAATGAAAATTGGTTGTATTTATTTAGTTTAAAATGTATCATTGTTTCATATTAATCATAATTTGCACTTAATTTCCAGAAACTGCGGTTATGCGAAGGGTGGCTATGATGACCATACCTTCTTTGACTAAATCATGGCTACTTCTGCTCTGTGCAGAAATTGTGTGGCATAAGGAACAAAAGAATAATTAACAAGTTGTGTTCTGCATCGGCCATATCTTCATGTTTTAGTTATTACTCATAGTGCTGTGATGATTTTTGTTTTACATGCAACCTTAAAAATTAACCCTTCAAATGTTGACGATGACTGCAATGCAACCATTTAACCAAATATAAAGCACTTATTTTCTACTTGCGCTCTCTTGCTTGAAATCAACCACTAATTGGGATTTTCAGGATATTAATTGATAGGTGCGCATTGAATTTTCACAATATTTCTTAGTGATAATGATTATAAAATCAGCTGTTACACCGTAGTTGAAGGAAAGTGAAGTATTGACAAATCAAGATTGTGTGAAGTGTGACAAGTGTTTTAACAAGGCCATATCTTTTTGAACTTTTTCCAGCAGCTCACAAGCCATTTCAATTCAAGTTCTTATGAAGTCTGAATTGAAAATTGATGTATGTTGTAAATCAAATTTTTCCTAATAATAATATGTGATAGTTCAAGTGTATCATATTATCAATTTTAGCATAGTAATTTACTTGCCTACTGATCTTTTATCAGTTAAGCTAATACGCAATGGCTGAAGAAAAAAAGGAGCAACCATCAATCAGTTAGATAGCATGACATGTAGCTGGAACCCTTATATAAAACATACTTATTAAGTGTTTTGTTTATCTATGTGTTGTTATCATGTAATTAAATTATCATAAACTATATTATTCTGCTAATTGCAACATTTATTCACTGGAATTCATATAAAAATTTTTTATTAAGTTTCAAAATATCATTTACAAGAAAGATTATTTTAAATATTGATCTTGCAATGTGTGGTATTTTTATTTGCTCAAAGTTTACATTGATGAAAACAAATTTTGGATGCCGTGGAACTATTACAATAGTTTTCTAACTATAAAAAATTCAATGATGAAAATTTGATTTTAATTATTTTTTTTAATATGGCGTTGTTAGATGTTTTTAGAGTATGTCTTTATCAGTACAGCATTCAATCAGTGGTTTAAAAACTAGAGGCAAGTTTAGGATTGACAAAAAATTTAAATAGTGTGGTAAATAAGAGAACTATAATGTAAATTTATGGGCTAAAGTAAACTGTACAATATTTTCAGATTTTTAAAGAGAAAATTGTACAAAAAGAAACAAAAACTAAACTACGAAAAAAAAATCTATCCAGGCAAAAATTGTTGTGCCGTTTTGCATCCTTTTAACACAATTAAAACTCTAAAAAACAACTTTTTCTGAAAATTCAAAATCTATAAAGCTGACCCTTTACCTAATTTAAAGTCTAAAAAACCCCATAACAAAATTCAAATACATAAAAATGGCCTCTTCACAAATTTTCACTTTGTAGATAGCTTCCATGACTGATCTTTAGGGAGAAAAAAAAAAACAGTTTGGAAATTACACTATTTTACCACAGCATCAAATCATAGATACCAAAACTAAAATTCAAATATAGCGGAATTAATTGGGCAGCCTAAGAAAGAAAGATTTTTAAAGAATGATTGCTACAGCTGTTTTTTTTTATTTAAAAATCTTTTCTAAAAAATGAAACCTCAGTGTTTAACTTAATTGAAGGGCATCCTGCCCCTTGATCTCTATAGACCCTTCTTGCCCTGTTTGTAAAAATAGGCAGCTATCCCTTAAAATCATAACCTTTTTATTCATTTATTTTTTTTCTTCTGAACTACCTGTTTTAGTAAGCAGTCCATTTCTAATTTATTATCCATAATTATAAAATTTTTATTTTTAAATTCATAACTTCATTTTAGTAAGATTTTACTTATGCTGTCCAGTTATATAACTGAAATTCGCTTCAGATTCGGCCTCTGGGATATTCACATCTTTTATTTAAGAGGGTATATATATGAATTTTTTAAATGATTTTTAAGTTTTACCCAGGGCTCGAAAAAACTCAGAAATTTTACCCGTCCCCGAGGACGGCTTGTCCAACAATGTACCCGTCCTCCTTTGAAACTAACCCGCCGCTTCTAAATAAATAAAAATATAATTTTCTCTTATTTATTACAAACATTTATATAAATTGCACAATGAATTAGTAGTTACTAGGATTACATTATACAGTAATAAAAGAAATACTAGGTTACTAATAGTAAAACCTAGTATTTCTATTATGAAATAATTTATTTCTTTGATGAAATAATTTAAATAACAAAGGTTAAGTTATCAGTCAATTAACATGTCAATTTATCTGATGGTACTGCGTTTTTTAAATGAATCAAATACGACGTTTGCCAGTTCCACAATCAAGCCAATGATTTACAGAGGTTTCTGCACAGAAATCTGAAAGAGGTTTTTCATTTAGGTAGATGTTCATAATTGCGGTTGACGCTTCATGTTTAAGACCAGTACGTAATGTGTTTTTTTGTAAGTTTATTGCTGAAAAGCCCCTTTCAACCGCTACAGTACTCCCAGACAGAGAAAACAACAATTCCACCATGCGCAGTATGTTGCTGTATTTCGAGATTAGAGGGCCATTTTAGAAGTGAGGAGGTAGATTCTTGTAAGATAACGAAAATTGAAAATATATCACGAAAAATAACGCGAAAATGGCCGTCCGCGCGGATGTTGGATTCGAGAAATTTGTTGTCCGCGGGGAATTTTTGACCTCCGAGGACGGCCGGTTTTTCGAGCCCTGGTTTTACCATATTTTTTTTTTAATAAATACCATTTCAACATTTATTTTCTTGTAATTTTCAGTTTAAAATGTGAATAAATTTGTTCATCACTTAATCCTCTTATTTTAGTTTACTTTTTTTGAAGAAAATTTATGCGCAGAGATTATCTTTTAGCTTGCCTTTAATTATTTTTTAAAAGCTTTGTGTTATTTTGATGTCTGTTTTCTGTTATTTTGATAATTGTGAGAATTACTTTGTGAAATGTATACATAAAATAGTATAAAAGGGTGATTTCAAAATTGAGGATCAAATTCAGTTATATAATATTACATATTTTGATAAATTTTAATTGTGTTATGTGAGTGCTCTTCCAAAACTTTAAGTGCCTTTTTCTGTGAGTAAGTGCCCTACTCTTTTTTTTATGCCTAGGAAAAACTCTGAAACCTGGACTGACTCCTGGTTAATAAACTGGATTATTTAATAAAATTAAAATGCGGAAGGAAGCTTACAGAATAATAACGAGACATTTAGTGTATTTATTAGTTAAAATAAAATTGTGCTTTATAAGCATTTTAATTTTGATATAAATTGTATTCCTTTGTAATTTTTTTCATAAAATGAAATTGACAATAAGAGTTATGACCTTTCTAGTTATCAAATTATTAAGACCATATTCTTAATATTGTGTCTACCTCCTATATTTTTAAGGTTAAGAATCCAAATAGGTAAAAAAAATAATAATAAAGACATTAAGAACTTTTTGTGCCAATACTGTGTAAGATGATATTTAAAGTTATGAAATTAATTTTAAAACTTTAAATATAGTCTCTTCTAATTGCATATTTAAGATTAGGCCTTTGAATGTAAGACAAAATTAAGAAATTTTTTTATCAGCCATTCCAGTTGTTGTATTTTTAATGGTGAACACGTTTTATGAACTGAAAAATCTTAACTATCAAAGAAACAAGTGATGTTAAAATAAAAACTTTTTTTTAAATTTTGGTAAATACTACCAGGTTCATTTCTAAAATTAGGATAATTTTCCCTGATCTTTGTAAGTAATTTTATGTAAAATATGAGCCCTGTGGCAACATTGTCTCAGAAAATTACAGATTTCTTGCAGACAGATTTTTTATTTGGGAAGCAAAAATGTTCGATTTTTTTCATCAGAATTTTGGTAAGACTTTTTTTCCTGCAAAACTTTTTCAAGAAATGACTTTTTTGAATATCAGAAATGGAAGAAACGTTCCTGTTTTTTTTTTTTTAAATTTTTTATGTTCCTTTGAAAATAAAAATTTTTTTCACAATGGCTGATTAATATTATAAAAAGTAATTTCCTAATCAATAAAATTTAAAAAAAAGTTAACTATACAAATATTTTTTAGAACAAGAAAATATCACCAATAATATCAGAATCTGTGTTTTTATATATGTATATTTAAAAAAAAATTGCATACTGTTCTATTCTATACATTAAGACTTTTTTTAATTTTTTTGTTTTGTTAACAGTAAACTTTTCTGATACTTAAAATTAATAATATATATATTTATGCCTCTATTCAAAATGTCCTTCAGAAAGGTATTAATACTAGAGAGAATTGTTGCAGAGAGCTCGAAAATATTCTGCCACCTGGGTTATAAGCATTGTATTTTTAACTAATAAAATTTAGGTTTGAGTTTTTAAACAAATAATGCTGTCTGCAATTTTCTGTTATAAGTAAGGATAAAATGTAATTTGTAATAAAATAAATCTGAAATAATTATAATAATAATGATGGAATTAGATTTCTTTTAAATATTTCCCGTCGTAAACTAACGAAGTAATATGAAATTAAATTGAACAAAAATGAGCTTATCTGTTAAGAGAAGAAATGTTTGAATCAGATGCAAATTAAAAAATGAAATGTTTAACTACTTATAGTGGCCAGATTATTGCATACTTATTAGTAATCATAATTGTACAATAAGTTATCACTAGATATTTAAATTCTTTAGAATAAAGGATATTTTGTATTAAAATCAGTCATGAAAAAACTTTTTCTGAGTAAATTTTTTTTTTTATGGATTCTTCGCCTTCAAAACTTTTGAAGGTAGTTGGAAATTATCTTTTTTTTGGTCTAATATATTTGGGGAAAAAATTCACTCCATTTTTTATGTAGATTACTTTGTCATGAAATTTGTTTGCATTATTTTCTGTCTAATTTAGATTTAGTAATCTATAATGCTGTTATATGCTTCAAATTCCTGTAAATGTTCATTATCTATTAATCTCCTAGCAATCCAAATGAATGTTCTTAAAAGCTACGTAAAATTATAAGTGAAAACTGCTTATATGACCTACTGGTCAAACTTTATTAAAAATAAAATTAATAAGAGTATAATTCAATTTTGACATTTTTTCTTGGTCAATTATTATTTATCATAAACTATTTTTCTTTTATTAAATTAATGATTCTAAAATTGAGGAGATAATGGATTTTAATTTCATTTAATAAACAATCATTAAAATCCTTCAATATAATTATATTTTTCTGAAATATTGAAGGGAAAAATATTTTTTTATGTATTTTAATACCTAAAAAGATTAAATTTATAAAATTAAATTCGATTTTCATTTATGTACTTAAAAAAATTTCTTAAGAACTCTTTTTAAAATTGTGTAATAATCAGTGTAATTATTTATAAGAAATAAATTTGTTCGTGAACGATAAAATTTGACATAGGAGCATAACATTGAGTAATAACTTGTAGTTAAAAAAAAAAATTCATGCATTTTTAAACACGTAAAAATTTATGTTTGCTTTAAGAAATGTTTAAATATCACAACCAACATTATAATTGCTTTAGATATTCAAATACTAATCTTTGTGAAAAATGCTGATGAAGCATTTTTCAAAATATACCAGTGACCTTATTGAAAAATTCTTTTACCATACCTAGTATGATTATATAAATATAACTTTAAAACATTTTACATTGGATATCTATCCACGTATTCAACTTAGCTGAAACAGTTTTAAATTTTAAAAAAATAGAAAATTGCTTTGAATTGCTAGTGAAACAAACTACAGTTACTTTACAAAAGTAGCTGTAGTTTTGTAGATTTTTTAAAGCTAAAAAAACTTACAAATTTGATGTACTGTTTTTATTTTACGTAAACTAATGTTTAAAAATAATTTATGTTTGTAATATGTATGTTTTACTGGTTATAGATTTATTATGTGTCTACAACATTTTCCTTACTAAACTTAACCTGAAATTTCACCAATTTTTTATGCAATTGTTTTAATAACCAAATCACAAATATTTTTTTTTCTATTCACCATCCAAAGGCTAACACCATTTGATAAATTTATTCATAGTGAGTAATGTTAAAATGGAGCTTTTTTTGCCTCTTGTGTCATTAAACACATTTCTTTCAGTTCTTTTTTCCAGTACAGAAAATTACATCTCTCAATCTGATCCATGGTTTCATGACTTATTTTTAGACAAAAATTTTCCAATATTGTGTGATGTTTCAAAATTGTTTTATGGCGGTTTTATCTAAGCAAGTTAACAATTATATATAACCCAAAACTGGCTGTAGACATATAACAAATCAGTTGTCCATGCAGTATTGAAATTGTTGAAAACTTTAAAAGTTTCATTTGTTTTTCAGGATTTTATAATGGCGGCAAAAAAGCAGACTATAACAAGAGTAAGTATTACTTATGTAAATATTTCTGTGCCTACTTAGTAAAATCAATTTGAAATTGAAAAGCTACAATATTCGAGAGACACAAACAGCAGTTTTAGAAATTTGTTTAAGGACTTGCTAACACTTAAATAGTTTTAAACAGTTATGAAATGTTATGTTCATAACTGTTACATTAACAAGTTATGTTCCTTTTTAGCAAAATAGTTTCTCGCTCATTTTTGTTTGTATTTTTACATAATGAGTTGATTGGTATTTCCCAACAGTTTGTTCTTTTCCTACTCTCTTGCCTGTAGAAAATAATAAATTAAATGAGGATTTATAAAAAATCATAGTTTTTTTTTAAATAAAGAAAATCAAATTTTTTATTGTTTGAAACAGTTTTTTAGATTTAAATTATATTTTCTTTTTATTAAATGATAAGAAACTTTTTAAGAATATTTTAATTTTTGTGAGGCATAATAAATACAAATTAATAAATATATAGAAAAATAAATCTTAATGTTTTTATAAATGCTTAATACGAATGTAATATTTGAGTAAAATTTTGAATAATAAATAAAATCTTTGAAATTAAATATCGTTTGACTATACTTATATTGAAACTATTTACATATCACATTTTAAAACTATTTCACATCACATTTCACTATCACATTTCAACTATTTGGTAAATTGAATTATAGTTCAAGTTATGATAATCTGTTCAAATTTATCAGTTTTCTATTTATTACAAGTTTAAGACACTTATATTCAGGGAAAAAGATACATAATGAAATAAGTTAAATTATACTACTAAAAAGTATATTTTTTACCACCAAAAAGATTTTTTTTCTGAAAACAGCTCAAATATGCTTTTGTAATATTGAGTAAAAGTAATGAAGACTTCAAAGCTGAAACCATCAAAAATGTTTGAAAATAGTATAATATTTCTAAATATTGAATACAGGTGTTGGAAAAAAATTATGGAACATTTCTATACAACTAATTTTTTCATGTTTCTCAAGAAATACTCAGAGAATTATTTTAAAACTTTAGAAATATTTAGGTCATGCATATCAATAAAATATAAAGCTTTGACAGATTCATAGGACCGGCAATAAATTACGAACAAAAAATAGTGACTTTGATCATCCTATGCCAACAAATACAACAGTAACCTTATGACTTGCATTAATTGCTCTGATTATCATATGCAATAGCTGTATAAAAGTTCCTAAATGTCCTAGTAAATATTCATAGAAATAGTCATTTTTATAAAAACTAATTTTTTTCTTTACATGTTCTTACTGTAACTGCAGAAATATATGATAAAGTTAAACAAAATGTAATTAATATTTAGTGTTTTAATTAATTACAGAAATATCATTTTAAAATTTGCAAAAAAATTCGTTACAAATTGCATAAGATATAGACATTTAAAGTCCTTTCATATTGTGCATGTGCAAAAAGCATTAAAATTTTCAACAAACAAGACATTAACAAAAACATTATAAGTTTATATGTCCTAATAGTTGTTGTGAAAGTAGTGCAATCTAAAATAAGTCACAAAATGAATCAATTTTTTTTAATATCAACTTTAGTTTTTGTTCTCTCATAACTTATTTTAAAAAATAATAGTAACTGGCTTTTAATTTCAGTTATTGTAAGTGGTTTCATAAAATATGTCTCGTAAATTTTTTTTAAACATCTATTTTCAACTTGTATAATTGGAGTTATATTTATTAATCTTTATTTAATTTTAAAGGTCCGCATTGCACGTGAAGAGCTTGAAAAAATGACTAGAGAAGATCTCCAAAAATGGTATACAGTTCTCCATATTTTAATGGCTTTCTGCTTAGCATTAATTCCCAGGAATATTTTTTTTGTACTTATTTCTTATATTTAAAATTGAAATAACAAAACATTACTTAACTTATAAGTATGAGCCTCATATGAATAATAATTTCTTGAAAGAATTCTTTTTTGATTTCTTCTTGTTCTTTTCTTAAGTCTACTCTGCTATTCTGAATTCATTTCTATCATTTTATTTCTTTATTACAATATTTTCATTTCTCATTACATTTATGCTTTTATTTATTTGTGAAGATTAAAAGTTTTACCAAAATTTTGTGGAATTGCATTTGGATTACTTAGCTAGCTGAGAAATCTTTTATTATTATATTAAAAATGTTCAGTCATACAATGGTAATAATTAATTAATTTTTTTATAAAAATATTGCCTGAAATCAAAACAAATACAAATAAAATTAATAATTAAGACTGCAAAGAAGTATTAACAGGGTGCGTAGCGTTTGTAAAAAGTACTTAAAGGTGCTTTTTGGGGGATTTCGTTTTTAAAAGCTTTTAAAGGTGCTTTTTTCAGCTGGTGTTTTTAAAAAGTGCTTTTTTCCACAAATTTTTTTTTTCTTCAGTGATATCTGGTGGATCCCATGCATTTCACGAAAATGGGGTGTTTGCTACGTAATCATTCACGCAGACTTCATGTCATACCCACATTATGACTTGCGCATGCACGCACACTCAAAACTGAAACCTGAGTGCTCCAATTCGGAGAGAGTCAGATCCTTATTAAATGTTTTTCTTTTTAATTTATTTTAATATTATTCTTCTTTATTTAATTTTACTTCTAACACTTTTTTGACGTAGGTGGTAAGGGTACTTTTGTTCTGAGTTCAGGGTCAAGTTGAATTCACTCGGTGATGTGGGAAAGTACTGATTGTTTTGATTTACGTCCGTTTCTTTTTGGGTTTTTTTTAACGCTAAAACTGTTAATAAAAAGTTTTTGTTTTTCAATAATATCATTGATTTAATATGAATTTTTGAGTGCTTGGAAATTTTTGTAAAGTGCTTGAAAAGTTTTTAAAAAGTGCTTATTTTTGATTCAAAGATTTGGCTACGCACCCTGATTAAACATCAATAGTTATGCGCTTTTATTTTATAAATGATGAAAAACATTAAACATGTTTCTAGACTAATCAAAGTTTTGTGGATAATGTGGTACATGGAGTTGTATTTGGGAACTGTATTTTTTGCAATGACCTACTTAAAAATCGAAAATCAAATTATGTACCACAGTTTAATTAACCAATTTTTTTATTGTTACAAATTACTATTAGATCTTTGTGTCAATTTTAAAGAAGTGATAGGAAAATGTATTCACTAAGAAATCCTTGTAAAATTATAAAGCAAATCTTAAAGTGATTTCGATATGAGCAAATAGAAGAGAATAATTTATGTTATTTTAAGTGAAATATTTCAGATCTTAAACTAATTTATATTGTGTCTAGAAACAATAGTGATTGAAAAGCAATCATTTGAGTTGATGTGCCAATAGCAAACAGAGGAGTGCTACTTAAGTCTAAACATATATTTATGAATTAGTTCACTTTTAGGCAGTAACTTTAACCTAAACATACATCAATAAGCAGTTTGATTTACTGCTGAATATTGAATTTGTTTGATTAAAATTTATTTTCTTTTTTAAAAATTGAAATATTTTTTTTATATATATTTGAAGCTGGAACCTACAGGATCAGTATGTTGATCTTCTTGAAACAAAGTTGAGCAGTAATAGTGAACATAGTAAGTTTTTTTTAATTGATTATTTTTTATTTTTTTAATATTTTGCCTTACCCATTGATTTAAAAAAATTTTTTTTTTTAATATTCAGCTGAATTAATGAGCTTGAGAGAATCTGAAGAAAAATTAAAACAACAACAATTAGATGCAAGTCGAAGAGAAAATATCCTTGTAATGAGACTGACTACAAAAGAGCATGAAATGCAAGAATTCGCTGTAAGTAGAATTTTACCTTTTTTCTTTCGGTTTTAAGAAAATGAGTTAAATAAGTAATTACCTATGAAGAATTACGAATGTGGTGGAATAATTGTTTCTTACTTCTTTTGAGTCAAATTTCTTTTTGACTCAAACATCTTTTTGACATGCCTCTGTTTAATAGACCATAGATGCCTCATGTGAAATACATGCCTCTGTTGTTTAAGGGTAAAATCAATTGTCAATCAAAGTTCATTCCAAACCTTTAAAAGAGCAGGGAAGGCATGTTTCATAAATTGTGTGGCTCTTAAAATAACCATTATAAATTCCCTAGATAAATTCCTATTTTCTATATATATTGATTTTAAACTAAATGAAAGTCTTTAACTTTAAAAATGTTATATTGAAAACATCAGATTATGGATTTACAAAATTATGTTGATTCTGTCAAAAGAAATATAAATAATTCTAAAAACTGCTGAAAAATAACATGAGCTTTCGTTGGAATTGTAACTAATCAAGCTTGTCAAAAAATGATCCTTAAATTGGAAATAAGCGTGTCTTTTATAACTGTGTGTTTAAAATATTGTAATTAGGAAAGGTAAGTGAAAATGGTTGATTCAGAATTTAAAAAGCCATGTGTAAAGGACTGAAAAATAATAACTTCCTAAGTAGCTACCATCAAACCTTCTGAAATTATGATGGAAACGTCACGAGTTGAATTTGCCAAAAAGTGATGACACAAAATCAAAATTTTTACAGCAGTTTTAAAATATCTGAGCTAGAAAAACTATTTGAAAGGGTACGAAGAAACATAAATAACTTCTGAAAAAAATATAAAATAATGTGAAATCACAATGGAGTTGCCAAAAATTGAATCCGTCAAAAGTGATTGCTTGAATTTAAAATTCGCATGTAGTAACAATGTATTAAATATGTCAGGAAGAAATTGAAAAACCATAGGAAAGCAACTGAAAAACAATCCAAGAAACAAGTGAATATTTACGAAAAAAAACTAAATGAAAAATAGTGATTGCTGAAGCAATGTTTTTCATTAAAAAAAATTTCCATAATAACTTCCATTTTTTCCTAAAAATATTTTTTTCACAAAAGTCTTGCCAAAAAAATAAAACCCGAATCGACCCCTGCATTAAAAATAATATTCGAATTTGAAAAACTATGTGGAAGTGTCCAAAAATATCAAAAAAACATATAGATTTACTGGAGAGTTGGCATAAAGGGATGTTTTAATGATATAAATTGAGGTGCGTAATCAGTTTGAAAGAGCATGTAGGGCAGAAATTTTTCATCGAAGAAGCAAATGAGGTAACATGCCCTGCAGGTTCCTCCCAGTATGAACCCTGATTGTAGTTTCATGTAGACAGTTACTTTATAATTGTGCATGAAAAAAAATTTTCTCTTCTTATTAACATGATGTATACAGAAAAATATAAATATTATGGATTAATGTCTGATAACATGAAACTAAAGCTCACAAGAAAATTTTATTAGGACTGTTAGACAAAAATACAGGGTGACCCAAACTGACTGCAACAAACATTTTTTAACATAAGTTTGTTAAACAAAAGAAATTCAACAGCATAACAATGACAAATATAAGCATTTTTCAAGTAGTGTTATTTAGTGGTAATTTGCAGCATAAAATGCTTATTGAATTGTTCATTAACGGGCAACAGGTTCTCAAATAACATTCACTTCCATTTCTCTAGCAAAGATTGCTTGAAGCATTAGATACATTTAAAATAGACCCTGCCTTCCAAAGTCCATTGTGCATTTACAAAACAATGCTAAATTGACATCAGTGCATTCTATTGATAGGAGGAAATCAAGAAATGAACTTAGTAACACTTTTGCCTTGTGCACCTGAACTGAGTCTTTTTGAATCATTCAATTGTACCAGTACATAAAAGAGTAGAGAATTTGTAAAGATCACTGTTTCTAGAAAATTAAATACTTTCAAAATAAATTTTCAGTTTTAGATTAGTTTCTATCTCCCATAGGATTACACTTTCATAAAAGTTTATTTCGGGTATAAATTTCATTAAAGTTTACCTTTACCAGAAAATGTAAATTATTTTCTTTAAATAACTTAAAAGTTATTACTTAAAAGGAAGTTCTAGAAAAAGATAAGCAATCTAACCTGAACGCAATTGTCACCCTGAGTGAACACTCTTGGCGGATATTAAAATTAAAAATTTATCACAAAAAATTAGTGAAATTTTTAAAATAGGAAATTTATGTATAAAATTAATTACATAGAATTAGCCATTGTCTTAATCTTCTATTTACCTCAATTTCAAGCATGTAGCATATTTAATTTTTCATTTCATGAATGCATTTATTCTTTATGTTATGTTTTCACTGATAAATTATTAACTTCCCTAGGGACAAATTCAAGAACTGAAGCAAGCACAAATTCCTACCATTGCTCAACTTCGATCTGCTCTATTGGATCCAGCTGTGAACTTATTATTTGAGCGAATGAGAAAAGAAATGGACTCCCTTAAAGCTCGTTTGGAAGAAACACAGAATGAACTCAGCGCATGGAAATTCACTCCTGACAGGTGCGACACAGAAAAGTCTTCCATCGAATATTATAATTGCTTGGCACTGAACGTAATGCATTTGATAAAACTTGTAAGAACCGTAACTTTAAATGATTTTACTCTTTCGGTGCCTCCTGGTCGATCGTGATGTCAAAACTATTGACAATACCGACTTCCCAAGTTTACAGGGTGGAGAGGCTTTATAAATATTTTGCCTGATGGAAATATAAGTGTGCAATATGTAACTTCAGTACTTATTTTATTCATGTTTTAAGTGAAGAATCTAGTCATTTTTTTAGGACAACTCTTTAGTCATCAAACATTAGATATACAAATTCTGATTTCTTCAAAAACTTCCAAGAAACTTAACTAATTTTTTTCTGCAAAACTATTCCATGGGAAACATTGACAAAAATTTCGAATGTATGTTTGCACTTAAAATATATTTTGATGACTTTTACTTTAAATTTTTGCAGTATAACTGCAAAGTCTGAAGTCTTTAATAATTACTGTATTTTTAAAAACGCTCTTGATCTGTCAAACGCTGAAAATCGTTATTTATGGGTGAGAAATTTCAAAGAATTGGCCTTTTTGATTTTTCAAATGTGATGTGATAGAAATTGATTGTTAACTGCATTGAGACAATTTTCTAAGTGTTGTCTGGAATGCATTAACTTTTTACTCTCAATTCTATGGCTTATAACAGAACAGAAGTTGAAAGCTGGGTATTTAGGGATTTTGAAAGGACAGAAGTAAAGTTGATGCTTTGTGACTCTAATTGATTTATTTATTTAGTGACTATTAAAACTTTTTATCAGGTAAGTTTTAGTTGACTATTCCTGAAATTATGTCCAAATCTTTCCGTCAGAGTATATTGTGAAAGGTCTGTTATTTGATGCTAAAAATTTTTAATTTGTTAATCTTATTTAAAGTTATTTGTTAATATATTTTTGTGTTAATATTCTTCTTCTATTAATTAAAAACATTTATATATATATTTTGCAGTTGTTTTTTTAAAGAAAAGACAAAATCTATGAACTGAATCTATTAGTAAAAATTATTTCATTTCATGCTGTTACAAATTATTTCAGTAATATTATTATTAAATAAATACGGGTTATTAGGTCTGCAGGTTGCGAGCAATTCAAAAGTTTTTAATAATTCAGTCCAAGTGACTGCATTAATTTATAGTTTCAAAAAATACTTCAAGATTTTTTCTATCAGATTGCTGCGAGTTTTCCAGTTACTTTATTTAACGGTGATTTTATTCTTTGGTGGATTAAGAAAAGACCTATGCTGAATTGCATCCTTAAATTGAGTGCCAAGTACAATTTTTAAATTCAAATGTAAGGTTAATCACACATGGAAAAAAATTTCCTATTTAGATTTTAAAAAAAAAAAAATGTATTTAGAAAGAATGCCTACGTGAAATAAATGAACATTTTGGACATTATCTGTATGACTATTGCTGAATTTTTATAAATGAATTTTAAGAAAAGATATTAAAAATTAAGACATCTATTATATGAAAAGAAATTTTGCTTTGATTCACTAATACGAATCTCCATAATTTTCACAACTTGAAGTTCATGAAAGTTAATGCTCTCATTACAACATTCCACCAGCTATCGTGTTTAGATTCTCCACGTGCTCTTTTGCTATTACTGCATTGTGCAAACTTTGGCCTGTAAGCGGCATGTTATCAGGGATTAGATTTTTCCGCTTTTTAGCGGATTTCCACCTTTTTCACCTTTGTCTCGAATTTCAGCCTTTTTATCAAAAACTTAGATTCTCTAAAAGTTGGAAGTTTTTTTTACTAAAAATATTCAGCTTTTTCTGCAAATTCAGCCCTTGAAATAAAATAATAATATTTATTTCCGATTTGATATATATATAGATATAATGTATCGAAGGATATATAGAAAATTGCCAACCCTTCCACATATCTACTTATTTTAGCTTTTACGAGCAGAACATAAGATTTTCCTCATTTTTACCTGACCGCTAAATAGCTCGTATTTTCGTATTTACCTGGTTTAAAAGTTACACATTGCAATTCCTATTCTCTCGATTTCAATATTATTCATTGCAATTCTTATTTACGAAATTTAAAAATCCAATACCGCGATTTGTATACAGGCATTTTTAAAATTCTATGTAACGATTCGTATTCACACGAGTTTATCCATTGTCGTGATTCATTTTTGCCATTGTAATGTCCAACATCTATTTTCATATTTACATGTGATTTAAAAATTAGGCCTTGATTTCGTATTCGCGCCAATTAGAAAATATGCATCGTAATTCGTATTTATGCAATCTGAAAGTTACGCATCATGATTTGTATTTTCCATTTTTGAAATCCAATATCGAGTTTCATTCAAGTGATTTCAATATCGTGATTTATATTCATGCAATTTTAAATTCCGTTATCGCGATTCTTGTAAAAAGTAAGTTTTTTTCTTGAATTAGTTACTATAAATGTGGCAGTTTTTCTGTCAACGATTATTGCTATATATAGGCATTACAATATCAGCGAAACTGGATGAGAATATGTTACTGATATTTTTGCTATAGATCACGTAAGATTTACTTTCGCGAAAATTCAGTTTTTTTGCCTTTTGGTCAATCTCATCCCTGATGTTATGTGAGAGTACACAATCTCTCTATTGTATTTTGATTATAATACATAGATTGTGATTTGAAGTGATTCCTACTAATATAAAAACATCATATTAATAACTTTAATGTTTTTCAAGGAAAGATTTTTTTTCTCTCTGCAACAAAATGCTAAAAAAAATTTTTTTTAATTAGAACTGCACAAGTATAATTTTTTTACTCGAAATCCAGGGCTTTAGAAAAAACAGGTTTTTTTATTAATAAAACATCTTAAAAACTTCAAATCTTATTTTAAATCTTTACCTTCTTAATTTAAATATATTTCATTGTAGTTCTAAGACACACAAAACATAATTATAGCTGAATAATTCACAATCTTTAATTTTGGTGTATAAAAAAACATAGCAACACTTACTATAAATTATTTTTAATACTTGTACATACCCTCCAACTTATGAGGATTTTGAAAATAATTCTTTCTAGTGGTAGCGAACCAAAGTAGAAATTTTTAAAGCAAATGGATCTCTCATAAAACTTTTATCAGAACTTAAGAATCTAGCCATATGGCCTGCACTTTTATAAGTAATAGTGGACAAGTTACGCTAAAATTAATTTTTTTTAAATATTAAGACATTAATTTTGCTACCGTCTGAAAAGAAGATTTCTGAAACTATGGAAATTCCGTAGCAGTTAGGTATGCTTGTATTAATCTTCAAAAAACTATAAATTAATTTTAATACTTATATTAATCTTAAAAAAATTATCAGAATAACAACTGAATGATCAAATGAACGTTAAGTAAAAATAAATGTGGGAACAGTACTAAATTTTGTGAAATTCTGTCACTAAAATTCATCTGACACTAAATGTTTTATTTACAACATTCTGGATTATAATTAGCATCATAAAACTATAATAATTTTTATTCTTTGGTTACAATTTTATTCAAAAACATTTCATTTATCAAGTATTCTTATTTGCTATTTATTATCCTTATTGTTATGGGTTCTGACTATTAAATTTTTGTGTTAATTCATTAAATGACTAAATATGTCGAGTGGAAGTGTTTTTTTTTTCTTTCTTTAATAACTGTCACTATTCTTTAAAATCTGTAAAACCCCTATAACTTTGTTAATTTTTACTATGGAAGAATTTTTTATATATTTTACTTGGATTTATAAGGATAAATTATTCATTTCAATCTCTAGTCAAATATGGCTATCATTTGTTACTAAGATGGCTTCCGATAACTATGAAAATTGACAAAATTCATGTAACAACCTATTAGCTTTTACCATGGAACTATTATTTTTATATCTTAGTTTTATAGATGAAGAACGTTGTTCATTTTTAACAATGCAGGAGAAATGTCAATTTTTACCTTAATGAACACCAATATTTAGTTTTTTCTATTGTCGTTACTGATATTGCACTCTTTTTTTCTCTCTTTATTTTTCAATTTAATTTTTAAAAATATATTTCCAAAAAAATTAAATAGAGAAAGAAAATAATGTCATGACTGCACAACATGCCGACTGTTGATGTATGGCCTGTAAGAACTTCTAAACACAATAACATCAACAAAGAAAATTTGAAAAATAAAGCAGTGTCAAAATTTTTGGATCGAACATTTGCATCATCAATATTTAATTTGTTGCAATCAATTTGCACAGATTGTAATGCAAATCTGTTGTTCCTTTATCGCTTTTCCAATGGTAATTGCTTTGAAATTCAACATGATTGTTAAAAAACTAAATCTTTTTAATATGATACTGCGATATGCCAGTTTCGAATTTGAATATATCTTTAAGATCCTCTTTATTTTTGCCAATTTTTTCATTAATTCACTTGTTTTTCAAAAAAAAATCTATAATTTTTTAATTTTTTTTTTTATGTTACAACTGCTAATTTACATGTGGTTTTTAAAATCTTGCTACATTTAATATGATATGATAAATCGTGAGTAATTTTATATGATGTAATTTAATTTTTTGTGAGTATTAATCGCTCATTTAATTGATACTTTTTGACGTTATTTTCGCCAATTGTTGCTACGCTTTTTCACATACTTTTAAAAATCCAATATTTTTATCAACAGATTATTAGGATACTAGAGTTTCTAACAGCACATTTAAATTATCACTTTTTGATGTGCATTGTTTGTGTTGATTTCATCTTAATTTTCAACGTGATTTTTATGATCCAGCTTTTTAAGAAGGATGTTATTAAAACACGTGAGTTTCTAAGCACGCTTTTAGGTGATCACTTTTTAAGAAAACTTTATGCCCATTACATAGTAAATCCAATTTATTTTCCCACCATTTTTTAGTCAGCACCTTGCATTTCCATGTGATATGTAGAATCCTGTTATTTTAATATAATGTTATTGCAACATGGAA